TTTCCTGGGGAAAATGTAAATTGGTACATGTCCTTCAACACAATGGCAATTATCCAGTAAACTTGGAAGCTTGCATAGCCTATAAACCAACAATTTCACTCCAAGAAACACCAAAGACACCGTGACCATGTGCAAGATGACTGATACAGGACTGCTCCTGGCAGCACCACGTATGAGTCAAAACATGTGAATAACTGAATGTACACAGAGTGGATGAATACGATGTGAGACAGGAACTTTTTATTGATTTTCTTCAACTGAAGGAATTTGAGCCTATTTTTATGTTGAGTAGAGAAAGGAAGACGTTACATTACACAACAGAATATGAATGAAGAAAACATTTTCCTGAAAAGGTGTGCTCTAGACTCTGGTTCAGGAACTGGCTAGGGCCAGGGGCAAGACCTCTCTCGCTAGGTCTTGGAAGGGGAAGCTGCAGACACCGGAGCCTGAGAGAGTGCGGTAGGGTCGAGGATCAAGCGATGGAGGAGGCGGACTTTACTTTCAACACAAAGACCCGCTGACACCTCAGGGGTCATATGCTGAGACATCCACAGCTGGGGAAGTGGTAACCACCCGAACAAAGTCTGAGCTCCTGGGGTAGCTCATGCAGGATACAGAGCTGACTAGAGGCACCAGCAGATGCAGAGGCCGGTTAGGAGACTAGTAGCGTCCCACAGAGAAAAGATGATGGGAGCGTGCACGGAGCGTGGGGACGGGCCTGAGGGAGGTAGTGCAAGTGATGGATTCAGGACATGTATAAGATGTGCAATGCACAGGACTGGGGCATGGCCGGATGTGGGGACTGAGGGAGGTGGAGGTGTGAGGAATTCTCTGAGGCTGTACCCAGTCTCTAACCTGCTTGGGTGGCAGGACCATTCACTGAAACTTGGGAGGTAAAAGGAGTGAGCAACATTCTGGGTCCCCTGCCAGGCACGCTGACTTCGGGTCAAAGGGCTCCGTGGCTTCCAAACCCCAGAGAGGCCAGACAAAAAGCTTCCCCAGGGAACCAGGGCCAGTGGTCTCCTCCTGGTCTTGAGCCTGCAGGGTCTCCCACCTGCCCACATCTTGGCTCCTACCTGGACAGGCGCTTTGAGACAGGTCTCTCTTCACCATCCATAGCTCCTGCCCGTGCTCCAGCTGGTAGATCAGCTCAGGTCTAGGAACAGGACACCCTATTCACAGAGAAAGAAAGAAGACACTAGGGTTTCTGTGAAAAGAAAGAAAACCTCTCAATCTAGTCTGGGACTTCAGGATGTGGATATGACCTCGGAATGAAGCTACTCCCATCCACACTAATAAAATACTAACCTGTCACCTGGAAACAGGCACAAACACCACTGCTGGGATCTAAAGACTTTAGACAGTAGTGCTGGCCGTGTAGACAGCACCTATTCCCTTTGGCTTCCAGCACACAGAATCCCAGGGAATATGACCCCCTCCTTCCAGAAAGTGTTTCCTAATCAATCCAAGTGAGTCTCAACCATGCGTGCATCAACACCTCCTGGGATGTCGGGTTCACATCCAATGGAAATGAAATCTCTGTAGGTGAGGCCTGGATATTGGTAGATTTTAAAACCTCTCCAGATGATTCCGGCATCAAAGGAAGGTTGAAAAACCAGTCTCTACCAACCTGCAAGTGGCATTCCTCAATCACCAATAGTTAGAGGTACGCAACTTTAGAAAGCTCTATTCCAGGATGGCTGAATGAGGGGATCTGCTGCTCCTGTTGTCTGGCGGCATCCCGGGACTTTTGTGAGGGAACCTGCCTAAAAGACCTAGACCACAGAGAGGAAGTAAAGAAACACACAGCTGGGTTATCACCGACCCACCTGGGAGTCAGTCCCACCTCTGAGCTTCTTATTACGTGAGATAATAAATTTCCTTCAGGGTGAAGACTGAGTTGCTCTGTCATATGTAGCCAAACACAGATGCAGGGTGAAAAGACACAGGACTCTATCGAGAAGTCAAGGGCAGAGGCACCAGGACCCACAGAAGGCTGCTCTGGCAGATCCTGAACAACACCCCAAGATTATCAGTTGTCACTAAGCAAATCCCGCTCGTATCTGCTACACGCTCAGCACAGGGCCCAGTAATGGGGCAGTGGAAAGGGGAGGAAGACTCCCCTTCAGCTCTATGGGGCTTTGGGAAGCTGAAAGCCCAAGAGAAAAAGGAGGGGGGTGCGCTTTAAAACTCATGTACCAAGCAAATACCAGGTCTAGAAAACATAACTCATTCTAAACTATTTATTGATTTAAAATAGTAACAAATCCCTAAATACAGAGGGAGAAAATAAAAGATAACTAAATAAGACACGGTATATAACTAAATCACAGTCTATAATTTGACCCAATTGGAAATGCAAAATTTATATACTAAAAACTTATATAGTAAGTCATATATAATAATTATGCACAGCATAACAAAATTTATGCTCCAAAAAAATTTTATCACCAAAACATAACACGGCACTGATTAGTTTTTCTGACTCTACAATATAGGTCTGAGTTAACTTTAGAATTTGCTAAAATGCAGCAAATGACAAAACTTCATACATTTAATTAATACTAGGGCTCAAATCATAATGATACCTGGAGATCACACTAAATTTAAATATTACTCTGCCCAAACTTCAAAAGCAGTGAAATAGAGAGGAAAAATACGTATGTCTCACTTTAACTGTAGACTTGCCTATATTTCCCCTATTCATAGTATCCATTGTCCTAAAATGTCCCATTTTGGGCATGGATGCTCACAAATTGACTTGGTAAAATGGGACCCACAAACACCAGTTAAGATAGTGAACATGGCTCAATGGAAGCTGGAAAAGGGCCTCCAGGGAGTAAAACTTCATATAACAGCTAATCAATAAAGGAATGACTGTCCTACTGCTTCTCCATTTGACAGTCCAGTTGTATCTGTTCTTAACCCTGGGAAAAATAAAGGGCTCCTCCTGGTGGGTTACTACAATCTTAATGCAGTGGTCCATCCATTAGGGTTCCTGCTAAGGACCGAGTGTGTCTGCCCCTAAATGTCATTACTTAGCCCAAATTCCCAATGTGATCACATCTGAAGATAGGGCCTGTGAGGAGGTAATTAAGGTTAAACGAGGTCGCGGGGATGTGGCCCCAATCTGGGAGGACTGGTGTCCTTAAAGAGGAGGATGGAGGGGCCTTTCCGAGCCAGAGGCAGGGCCACATGAGGACACAGCACGAAGGCAGCAGCCAGGAAGAGCTCATCTTCAGAAACCTGTCTGCCGGCACCTCAGGTCTGGGACTTCCAGCCTCCAGAATGCCATTAAAATAAAGCTGTTGTTTAAGCCACACAGTCTGGCAGCCAGGGCTGATCCACACAATCCACAATCCCAATATCCAATATAAATAAATTAATAACGTTATCGAATCAACACCCGGGCGACTATCTTGGGCTTACAGATCTGGTGGACCGTGTTCTGCTCAGGGCCTCTTTCAACGGCTTCTCTGCCAGCCTGCCTTTATTCTGAAGGTAAACACTTCTTCTTTCCCAGGCTGCCTGTGAGGCTGGCTCCACAGCTTGGCTGCTGCAAACAGTCTCTGCACACAAGAGCTTAACTGCACCCACCTTCCTCCAGTAGCACAGCTATGACAGTACATTGATGACAGCCTCGTCCAAGGAAATTCATTCGACACATTCATATGGATACATAAATCCAGTCTTTTAGTCCCATTGTGGGGACAGTTTCAGCTAATACTACTACTTAGTATTATTTGGGGGCTGGTGACTACATTCCTCATTTATAAATTTTATTTAATCTCACTACTGCTGTTAGTTACCAACCAGCCCAACAAAGGATTCCCTCCAACAAAGACTCTAAGATCTATTCAAAATACTGTTAACAGCACAAGCTCAGCACAGCTCCTGAGGACTCTGTAAGACAGAATGGAACCCCATCTGGGCCCTCTGGCCTAACTCCACTTGTAGGAGGTGGTAGCTTCTCCTGTCCTCAGTCCCATGCCAGATGCTACGGTGCCAGAGGAGGCCAGCCCTCCCCCAGACCCTCTGGCTACCTGGAAAGTCCCTTGAGATTAACAGAGTGAACAGTTACGGGAGTTTGTGGACTATCAGAAAGACACTGCTATCCATCATACACGATGGAGTTCGGTGGAATGTTGCTGCTTTCTATTCCTGAGCCAGAATGTTCTAAATAAAAAATGGGACCTAAGAAACATTACTTGGCCAAACTTCGGGGGGGGGTATCTTAGCGCCAAATGCCCTGATTAACAAATGGCCCCATCCCCACATTCATAATAAAGTGCTGGGCCATTGCCTAAAAATGGTCTGCTTTGCGGTAAAGAACTCTTCAGAACCTCTGGTCTCACAGACACTCCTAATAGAAGTCAAAATCACACATCTCTGCACATACAGCCACAACACAAAGCTCTGCCAAGACATTCCTTATTCCCTTCAGAGTTGCAGGCAATACTGGTAATAGACACACATTTCACTTCTCAAATGACGCAATGCTTCTCTGGGAAGAGACATTCAACAGAGCTTTCATGGCCCAGACATGCCCCAAGTCGCTGGTTTAAGTAAAAGACATAATGGTCACTTGAAACTACTCCTTTTAAATTCTAGTGTGACAAATAAACCCCTAAATGGGTCTCTATCTTGCCTTAATAAAAGGCCTCTTGGCCTACTTACACCCCACACTAACACCACTGTTTCAACCAAGCATGGCAAAAACCCCATCAACCTGAGTGGGCACTCATTTGCAAAGGATACCCCAGTCACACACCCAGACAACATCGTCCCAGACCAGCACCTCAACAATGAAGACGACTCCACCCCCTGATGTTAAAACCTTCACCCCAGCAAATGTCCACAGATTGCCTCTCCTAAGACAGAAATTAGACACAGGACCTTTTTTGCTTTCTATTAGGAATTCTATTATGTTCCGGAGGTGACTTTTAAAAAACTTCTAAGGATGAAGGGTAAGGGTAACGAATCCTGTGAATTTAACACTGGAACATTCGGTTCCATCCCTTAACCTCTGTGGAGGCAAGAAGGGCTGGAGATTGAGTCCAGTCACCAACGGCCAGTGATTTCATCAATTATGCCTGTGTAATGAAGCTTTCACAAAATCCCTAACTAAAGTCGTTCAGTGAGTTTCCAGGTTGGTTAACACAACGAGGTGCTAGAAGGGTGGCAAACCTAGAGGGCATGGAAGCTCAGTGTCCTGTCCTACGTACCTTGTTTGCATCTCTTCCATTTAGTGGTTTCTGAATTTAAAACAGGTAATATTAAGTAAGGTGCTTTCCTAAGTTCTGTGAGCCACCCTAGCAAATTATCAACTCTGAGGAAGGGGTCCTATCTCTGATTTACAACCAGTTGATCAGGACAGGTGACAACCTGGACTTGGGACTGGCATCTGAAGTGGATGGGTGGGAGGGCAAGGGGCTGCCCTAGGAGACTGAGCCCTTAACCTGTGGGATCTGTGCTAACTCCAGGTAGTCAGTGTCAGAACTGCATGGTGTGAAAACAAAATTTTAGTATCAGAAGTTGCTGAGGGGAGCCTGGGTGGCTCAGATGGTTAAACGTCTGCCTTCAGCTCAGGTCATGATCCCAGGGTCCTGGGATCGAGCCCCACATCGGGCTCCTGGCTCAGCAGGGAGCCTGCTTCT